GAAAATTGCTCACATAAGGCGCTTGCATTAGAGTTGCAATATGTTTAACCCACCTGGTAGTTGAGCAAATCAGTACAAAGTGTAAATCCTGTAGTTTCATATTCTCGCATTGACTTCAGGTATGCTTACTTCTCCTCGCTTTCTATCCAGTAACAAACGGCTCGATTTTAGCTAACAGTTCTCCAGTTGTAACTGCAAATTTTAGGATGACTAAAGTTGTCGAAAATTCCATTGGTTGTATAATTGATGAAGAGAAATACTACAAGGACGTATATCACGATGTGAAGTAAGTAAAAATATTTTTTATTTAATCGAAATCATGACTTATTTGAGTCCTGACCTCTTGATCGAGTATTTGTTCAAAGAGAGTTTCCTATTATATAGACGTACTACCTGTGACGCATTATGCTAATGAGTATTATTATTAACGACAATTTCATGTTCCAGACAAAAAAGTTCCTGCAGTCCATAAATAAGTTTTTCCAGTTGATTGGTTTGAGGCAAACAGTGAGTTACAACGCAAAGAGTGATATTTAGAGCATCAAACATGTCACCCACTATCAAATTTGTAGTTTACATCTCTTAAATTTGGCATCCTGAACAATACCTGAGAGCGGGCGTTTTATATCTACGCCTAACTTATTTCGGTGCTTGGGTTGTAACTTAACTTTGACCTTCATCTTCAGAATACCCTGAGTAAACACCAAATTTAGGGACATCATCTAAACAGTAGCATGCGATGACCTTCAAATAAAGTTAGATAAACCTTTGCATTAAACTTTTTCAAACTGCAGTCTGTTTTTGTATATTGCTTTACAAAGAGAGTTGGAAGAAAGTAGAAATGTTGAGTCACGAGCACTGAACCATTTTCTGTAAGGTTCGCGTCATATATTAAGACTCTAGAGACGATAATCTATTTCCACCTAATGCTGAGCGATACTCTAATGTAAGGATACTATAGTAGAGTATTCTGTTGCTTCTAGTTTTCAATATGATCCAATCCTTTATGAAATATACGAGCCGTTTATGATGGATAGTCAATATTCGGCGCTTGAAGCACGCTCGAAAGAAGTAGATGGTACGAAGGCCGTCGCTAGCAAAAAGAGCCGATTGATTGTAGCTGAAAGCAAGTGTGTGAAGTTATCGTCCACTCGTTGGGACATTGAAGATGAAGCAAGTGTTCTGTGCAGCATCGGCATTGGCATCCGCTACTTCAACCTGACTGACCGTTCGTTTGATAATAATCGAAGAGCTCGAGATCTAGTGTCAAGTATTGAGCACGCAAACCATGGCTCAGCAGCAGCCGTCTATGACGACGAAGTACTGACTTTGTTGCACAATACTCTCGACGAGCAACACAACGAGGTTATTGCTGGACGCTTGAATGTCAACGACGCGAACCATTGCCTCGAAGCACAATGGAAAGGCTCTTTATACATCATTCCTCGTCGCTCTGCGTTTTATGCTGGGGACGTGAACTTTGTCTTCAAACTGGTTCATGGTAAACAGTTTATTTCCACTGTATCTGTTTATAATAATCTTATCGTTGGTGCTTGTCCTCTTTTGTTTCTTTTTAGTATAAATTTCAACTGTTTTGTTTATCTTGCTAAAATAGGCTTGTTTATGGTTTACGAAGTTATTTGTGATTCTAATCAAGCAAAAAAAATAAGTTAACTAAATAGTTCTAGTCATTAAATCTGCAAATATGCGCAAATCCAAAATCCCAACATCAGTTTACTGCACGAAGCTCAAAGTTGCTAAAACTTATTCTATAAAATGTAACATTCCCGTAGAACCTTATCTGACTTTGTAATGATTAAACTGAAAAAGGCATAAATGAATAAAAGTATAAACTACCATCTCAGGTAATTTATTTATCCTCATTTCAAAGTATGGTACTAGGTACTGGTACATAAACGATACAGGAGATATTTGAGTTACCGACATTAACCCAAATCAATGGCGCCCATAAATCGTATGCAAAAGGCTGTCGGAAAATGGTGCCCATCATAAGAAAAAATAAGAAGGGTGATGTATCAACGGTTTCAGACCGTTTTACCAATTTTCCCGTCATTTATGCTTTTTGATGTTAAGATTCACCAGGAATCCTGAAAGGGTAAGCTCATCAGGCAGTGTTAGCAAGGCGATGACAGATCTGACGCATTGAAAGACATCATATTAGAAGACAAAAATTTGGATTAGACTCCAGGGCGGAAGGATTTGGGGCTACCATCTGTATTTATTCATAAATACAGTACAGTAAAAGTTTATTTTGCCTGTCTTAATAGACCTATTTCCTTTTTAATATGTTCATCATAAGCAGTGCTCTCGATGTCATCGTCTCGGTCCTTTAATCTAAACTAATTTTAAGCATATGCAGTAGTTTAATACAACTTCTTACTTTATAGCAAGAGAAAATTACGATATGATTGTGGTTGATCCGCCGTGGCCCAATCGTTGTGTTCACAGGCAAGGAAGGTAAGTGAATACACAATGGCATATCATGCACGGTCTGATGAGAGAAGAGAAGTGGGCGAACTGGCCAGCATAATATGATAGAAGTATAGGAAAAGTTGGCTAAGTCGAGTACCAGTGTAACTCTGGAGAGGTTATCGTTTGGAGGGTGTTGTGAAACGTACTGATCAATACGTTGCGTAGTTATACCTTTACATATAAATTGGTATATTGTGAATGTATATGCGTAGGTAAAATGTAGTGCAAAGGCCAAGCCTGGGAGAAACACCGTTCAGAGGCTAGAGGTCATAACGCTTCACCATGTTATTTCTAGGAATAACTATTTATAATGGTAGATCATGCGCCGTGCTTCTCCTTTACGGTTTCTGCACGCGTCTCTGCCTTGTTAGGCACGAATTCCTCTAGATCACGGGTATAACTTCCT